ACGCAGGGAGGAGTCGTTTGCAATGCCTTGATGCAGGAAGGGGTCATCACGGTCCTCTTGATCGAAGTCGGCGAAGATGTTCATCACAGAAGACGCTTCGCCCGAGCCTCCCACCAGCTGGTTCACAGAGCAACGGCCCGCACCACGCCCGAGGTCTGTGAGACTGTTTGCAATGCCTTGACACATGTCGGGGTCTTCATAATCCTCTTGATTGGACCTGACACCACTCTTCAACATGATGGGACGGTTGTTGTTGATTCCACCACGCTCGAAACCGGCATTGGGAAGGTAAGACATCACAGAACACGCCTAACGCGGTCGTATCGAAACGTTTAAATACAATAAATATTGGAATGGCGTTGCATTGAACGGGTTTATCCAACACATGGTCAGCGCACCGCCGTTTCGCATGTCTGCTTGATCCCGAGCGGCCCATCCCCACGCACTACTCGCTCAATCAGACACCAGTTTGTCGCACACCAGCCCGGATGGTCTCGCTCGTTGTCCATGATAAACTCTGCGTTGGTTTCCTTCAGAGACCTCGCGTATCGGATGAGATCGTACGCCGGGTCCTTGACATGCAGGTAGCCGTTGCGTCGAAGTAGGAGTGCCAACGCGAGATTCTTATGTTGCTCAATGGCGTACCGGAACAGGTGCTCCACTTGTTGCGGATCAAGGGGCTGGCTCTCGAGTAGCAGGTCCATTATGTCCATGGACTGGTTTAGGACTGCTACCATGAGGGGTGAGTGGCTGTAAAACGTTTCCGGTAAACGGTTCTGTGACCGAGAGAGGTCGCTGTAGTCCACCTTCTCTTTGCCGATCACGAACCGCCTCGCAGCATTGGCTCCTTGCATTATCAATTGTTCCACCGTGCGTATTTTCCTGAGCTTCACAGCTTCCAGCAATTTCCTATCAACGTCATGGTTTACTCGCACCTGTCGCATCAATACCGGGTCGCCTTGGCCATAGGCCTCGATGTCCGGGTGGTCCGGTGTCACGATCATCGGAACTGTGTCATGAATAAACGGTGTGCCCTTTATATCCCTTGAGCACCCAACGGGCGCATACTCGCCCGTGGAAGCCCTAGGCTGGTCCGAGGGCCCATGACCGAGGCTCACATGCGCCTCCTCTGGCGCCTTTCGTACACAGCCTAGGGTCCGGGGGTGTTCCTTAGAGGGACCAACACATGGTCGTATAGAGACAGCGTACTTAGAGGGGCATACACACTGGCATAGACATAAGACTGACTATATAAAAACACCCGTCTTGGGAAGACACCCAGGGCGCCATGTGGGCCTACAGACCACCGACAGCCCCCACACAGCACAGACCGTTCCAGGCCCCGGGCGCCCCTACACGGGGACCAGGGGAGCCCCCCGTGGCATCCGCGAGGCCCAGAGCAACCCCCGTATGCAGGCGCTGGAAGGATACGAACGCCCGGTTCGCGCTGCGCGACGGGGTGTCGAAGGCGAATTACATCGAGTTCAACATCCGCCGCACCCGCAAGTCACCGCCACTCCGCTTCTATCCAGGACAGTGCATCCAGGTTATGTGCGGCGCCACAGAATACTCTGTTGTCGTGTTTTCTTTCACACCCCGCTCCAGCTCGGGGTCAGTTGTCAGCGCCGCTGGAACACTCCGGGTACACCACCACGCAGCCGTGCGATGGGAGCTGGAGCGGGAGGCGGCCGCGAACCCTGCGAAGCCGCGCAAGTGAACAGCCCACGCGATGGGAGCTGGAGTATGGAGGCGACCGCGAACCCTGCGATGCCGCGAGGGACACATGCTTGATCCTGCCACACGTCTAAAGTGCACAGCAGTCTATATAAACCGAAAAACGGCGCGTGTGCTCGAAGGCCTTGTCGTTGATGGAGGAGGTCAGGTCGGACGTGTTGTCTCCAGCCAAACACGTCTCGGAGGTCCTGTCGTTGATGGATGGCTCCATATCGAACGTGTTGTTACAGGAGTGGGGGTGTGTGCAGCTGTACAATGTCAGCAAGGACCCCCAGAACTGGGCGATGATATCGGAGAAGGGTGGTGTCAGGGCAGTGATGGAGGCGGTGCGGGAACACATGCTTGATCCCGACATATCGCTATTTACATTCAAGATGCTTCTGAACCTCACCGAGAGCAACGGTGTGCTCACCAATGAAGAACAGATGAAAGGTGTTGAGACGGTGGTGGCGGTGATGAAGACACACGTGCTCAATCCTGCCCTCATATACCACGCATTGGAGCTGATGATGCGTCTCACCGCAGTACTCGGAACCTCGAACGACGACCGTTGGGAATCCGCCGACGAACCCGCTAGGATGCTCAAAATCATCGTGGAAAAGGGTGGAATAGAGGCGGTGGTGTGTGGAATGAGGACGCATATGTACGACGGTATCATTCAGGAACGTGCGCTTAGTGCTCTGCGACGCATTGCTGCACAGACTCAGAGTCGCATACAGAGGATAGTTGCGGCAGGGGGTATCAAGGCGAGCGTAGAGGTTCTGCACATACACCAGCCGTATGATCAGGTGACACAAGCCGTCGTCGACCTTCTCAACGCACTGATCACAGACCCCTTCGCGGATACTGATACTGTCTTGAACACGGAGGCCATGGGCAACAAGGCTGCCATGGTCAAGGCCGGGGTCGTCGGCGCGGTTGTGGGGATGATGCGGGTGAACAGGGGCGATATGAAGATGTCAGAAGAAGGCTGTACGTTTCTGAGCAACGTTGTCGTACGCCGCGGTGAAAACAACCGGGTGCTTGTGGCCGAGGGGGGTCTCGAGGAGATGGTGGAAGCCATGCGCACACATCGGGTGAATGAGGAAATTCAGGCACGCGGTTGTAGAACCTTCTACGCGCTCGCCCTCGAAGGCACCCACCTCCAGGCCATGATAGACACGGGATGTATGTGTGCGACCGTGGAAGCAATGGTGGCGTACCCGGAGAATTACAACATACAACGAAGGGGCGGGTGGTTCGTCGAGTGGTATAATGCGGCTACGAGACCGGCACGTGCGGCGTGAAAATGTGGGCGTGCGTGGTACAGGCTGGTGCGACGCCGGGCGTGGGTGGTGGTGCGATGCCGAGCGTGCGTGGTACAGGCTGGTGCGACGCCGGGCGTGGGTGGTGGTGCGATGCCGAGCGTGCGTGGTACAGGCTGTTATATGCGCCTGGTGTGTATTTAAGCTTGTGGTACACTTGGCATGTATCGACATGTCTATGCTAGCACCGACGACGACTCCGACCCAACCCCAGGCCCAGCCGGCACCGACGCTTGTACAGGCACCGGTGCCCACGGAAAACCAGAACTCTCTCCTGCTGCAGGTCTCTGCACAGGAGAAACGCATCGCAGAGCTCACGACCTCACTGGGCGATCGCAATGCACAGCTTCAGAAGTTCCAGAGCGAGAAGAAGGCTGAGATGGAGGCCCTCATGTCGGGAATGAAGTCGTGGATCTCTAATCTCGACGTGAAAAATGACATGCATAAAGATGAGTTCGAGAAGGGCCTGCAGCGCCTCGTGGACACCTCCTCGTTCGACAACGGTGTCTGGCAGGTCATGACGTGTGCGTCGGCCTCCGCAGCCAAGCAGGAGGAGCTGTACCAGACCCTCAAGGGCCAGTACGACGAGCTCCAGCAGCGCAACGCGGGGGGTGTGTTTGGCCAGCCGGACCAGCGGGTTGGTGAGAAGCGCCGTGCGGACGGAGAGCCTGACACGTCTGTCGTCTGCACTCCGGACATCTGGAGCAACTTCATCGCAGACGTCAGTCGGACGGGATACCAGGTTATGTAAGTGTGACAGGGCAATAGGGGATACACTTACCCTGTATCCCCGTATAGTAGGGTAGTAGAGAGATGGTACGCGAGGGTCGAGCACTACGTGGAGGTATGCAAGCGAGGGTGTAGTCGACACCTTCATGGAATACGGGCTACACACTACGCGAGGTCGGACGATGTACCAAGGCTGTAGGGGTAACCCAGTGGTCTGTGAGACAGAGTGGTGCATTATGTATGGCAATAATACACTACACAGTGAGACACAGCGTGTGCACAAGCACCAGACGCAATGCGGCTATTTAACCACACACACACCACCCGGTGCATCGGCTCAGCATGGTACAATTCCCCGCTGCTCACATGACCTTCATGCGCATGCAATCGCAAATGCACACAGACAACAAGTTCGCGGGCCCTTTCCGAGACACGCAGGCATCCAGACACCTCCCAAAGACAACTCCTTCGTTGGTGCAACCGGGTGGGGGAGGCACGCAGGTACCGAGACACGTTGCCAATAACAACAGGTCCACCGGCTCCCAGACAAAGCGACAGAAACGCGGTACGTAGTGTGTCTATATGACACGCTTCCAACGCCAACGCCGAGCCGCCACAAGAGAGCTTTCCTATAATTGCAATACCCCGCAGTGTGCCATACACGGCTCGCGTCGGTACAGCTCCATACGCACAAAGGCGGGGCTCCGTTTGGCCTCCCACTGTGTGCAAAAAGAAGGTAGGGTGAACGGGGCTCGAACCCGCGACCTTAGCGTCATAAGCACTACGCTCTGACCAACTGAGCTACCACCCCTGGAGTTCGGCAGGGTTCGAACCCGCGCCTCACACGTCGGGGGTGGGCGTCGTTACCGATACACCACGGTCCCTTCGATGGAGG